GAATGTTGTCTTCTCTTGGTCTTCAGGGGCTATGGGTACTTGAAAGTACCCGGAATAGCCATCAAGGAAGCAATAGAATTTATGCCCCGCAAGTCTCTCAAGCATTTGATCAATGAAGGGTAAAGGAAAGAAATCCTTTCTAGTTACCGCGTTGAGGCGACGGTAATCTATACATACCCTCCATCCATTTTGAATTCGGGTGGGCATAAGTTCTCCATGTTTGTTCTCCACCACCGTGACTCCGGTCTTCTTGGGAACAACTTGGGTTGGACTAACCCACTTGCTATCGGATATGGGGAAGATTATCCCCATTTGGAGAAGTTTGATGACCTCCTTTTTTACCACCTCCATCATAGGTGGGTTTAATCTCCGTTGTGGTTGGCGCACGGGTTTGGCTTCATCCTCCATCAAGATGCGGTGCATGCAAGTAGATGGACTAATGCCTTTAATGTCGGCTATAGTCCATCCGATTGCAAGTTTGTGCTCTTTAAGCACCGCAATCAGTTTTTCTTCTTGCTCCCCGGTCAGTTTGTTTGAGATTATGACCGGTAATGTTTCTTTTTCTCCCAAGTACACATATTTCAAATGTGTTGGGAGTGGTTTCATCTCAACTTCGGGGGCCTGCAAAATAGAAGGCAAAGGCTTCTCCTCGGGGATGGTTAGTGGGAATGCTCTTGACCCTGGTGGCATAAGTGGAAGTTGGAAGTGGTTATCCAACTCCACCATCATGGCTTGCCTATTGGGGGTCAAAGCAAGTTCTAAAGAATTTTCCCCGAGGTCATTCTCAATTACACTTAGTAGGTCATCCTCCCCATTCATTTCAAAAGTATTTTGCACAATGGGATCTGTAACATCAATGGCAAATAGAGAATGATTTTCATTTGGGTATTTCATGGAGTCGTAAATATTGAATTCAACTTTATCTCCATCAAATTCCAGAGTTAAAGATCCGCTAAAAACATCAATTTTAGCTCTAGCGGTCTTTAAAAATGGCCTTCCTAAAAGGATAGGAACCGCATTCTTGTCATTTTCCATTTCTAAAACATAAAAGTCGGCGGGAAAGATCAAATTGTCTACCATAACTAGTACGTCTTCGACAATACCTTTAGGGTAGGCGTTTGATCTATCCGCAAGTTGGATAACTACTCCGGTTTCGTTTAAAGGGCCAAGTTCAAGTGATTTGTACAAAGAATAAGGGATGACATTAATTGATGCCCCCAAATCTAACATGGCCTTTGAAAACGTAGTACCTCCCAACTTACAAGGTATAGTGAACATGCCCGGGTCATTGTATTTTTTTGGAAGTTTCTTTTGAAAAACCGCGGAGACACGTTCACTAACTTGAACTTTTTGTTTCCCATTGAGTCTATGCTTCCTTTTTATTGTGCATAACTCCTTAAAGAATTTTGCAAATCTAGGAACACCTTTTATTAAGTTGAGAAGAGGAATATTTACCTCACATTTGGAGAATGTCTCATAGATGTCCTTGTCTTTCTCCACCCTTTTCGTTTCCCTTAGAGCTTCGGGAAACGGTGCTTCCACTTCATGAATAACCGGGGGTGGAGTTGAAATGTGAGCTTCCTCCTCCTCTGGCTGAGCTTTCTCCACAAGCTCTTCTTCCTCTTCCTCGCCAATGTGGCTTTTGGCTTTCTCCTTGGCAATCACCAACTCTTTGCCACTCCTTAATGTCACCGCATGGGCTTGTTGCCTCGGATTCGGCTCCGTTTGAGATGGAAGCTTTGTTGAATCCTTGGCTTCAAGCCTACTCACCGCACTTGAGATTTGGCTCATTTGATTCTCAAGGTTTTGGATGCTTGATTTTGTCTCATGTTGGAATTGAACCATGTTTTGTTGCATGGTTGAGACATTTGAGGTGAGTGCTCGGATCATGTCTTCGGTGGACATAGTTGAGCCTTGGCCTTGGGGTTTAGAGTACGGTTGTTTTGGGGGAAATTGGTTTTGGGGAGGGTTATTTTGTGGTGGGTTTCCTTGCGGATTCCCATATCTCAAATTGGGATGATCTCTAAACCCGGGATGATAAGTGTTGCCGTAAGAATCATACCTCTTTTGGTTTGGGAACCCCAAAGCGTTGACCTGTTCGGGGTTTTCTTCTTGAAGGCTCGGGCATGCATCGGTGGGATGGCCTTGTTGTGTGCAGATGCCGCAGACCTTGACTTCTTGGGTTTTGGAATTTAAAAGAAAATCCTTTACCAAAGAAGTCAAGCCGGCAACTTGACTTTATAGAGATGATGTTGATTCGGCCGCCATGACTCTTTTTGTTGATGACCGCCCGTTGTGATATCTACAATTCTCGGCCAACTCTGAGATAAGATTCATAGCTTGAGAAGGAGTCTTGTTAACGATCCCTCCTCCACATGCGGCATTAATCATCCGTCTATCATCATTGCAAAGACCATCATAAAAGTATAGGATGAGGTCTTGCTCCGAATAGCCATGATACGGACAGCTTGCACAAAGTTTCTTGAATCGTTCCCAATATTCATAGAACGATTCATCATCTTTTTGCTCCACATTGCTTATTTGCTTTTTTAGAGATGAGGAGACAGAGGCTGGATAGTACCTTTCGAGGAAAGCTTTCTTCATGGCCGCCCATGTATCTATACTTCCCGAGGGAAGATAGAATAGCCAATCTTTTGCGGTATCTTTGAGGGAGAATGGAAAGGCCCTCAACTTTATCTGTTCCTCGGTGACTCCATTAGGGCACATGCTCGTGCAAACAACATGGAACTCCGAGAGATGTTTATTTGGGTCTTCTCCTCTTAAGCCATGGAAGGATGGCAAAAGATGAATGAGCCCTGATTTGAGCTCAAATGTATTACCTTCGTTGAGTGTAGGGAAGGTAATACATAGTGGTTGTTGATTCAAGTTTGGAGCTGTGAGCTCCCTCAACGTTCTTGTTTCAAGAGCCATAGTTATTGGTTCTTCAGGCTCGCTAGAATAAGAGCTAGTACTTGATGAATCTCCCGAGTCGGTATTTGAGAATTTATTTTTCAACCGCTCGAAAGTTTGCTCTATTTCGGGGTTTGATTGGTATGTGATTTCGTTTATAGAACGATATCGGACCATATACTTCACAAAGCTCAGAAATAGAAAAATAAGAACTCTTTATATTTTTGGTTAATTATTTTTTTTTTGATTTTTCTTGAAATAAAATAAAAAGAAAAATAATTGCCTTTCCCCGGCAACGGCGCCAAATTTGACGTGCACTTTGTCGTGATGTGCACTCCAAATAATAATACAATACAACACTTATACGTAGTATAGCGTAGTAAGGTTCGTATCCACAGGGAAAGGAATACTTTTCTTTTTATAGAACTAGTAACAAAATGGGGGGTTTTAATTTGATTTGGTTTAATAAATTAAACACGAAGATGAACGAGTTATGTGGTTTAATAAATAAGAAGAAGACTTGGCTTTGCTTTTATCCACTTAATGAAATGTTCGTCGATCCCGGTTATATCTTTAACTATCTTCCTCTCGAATACTCAATCGAGGAGTATATCCAGTTCATCGAGGGTAGTTATTAATAACGAGAAGCGTTCATTAATAAAACTTACTATCGAGTCAATATAGAACAAGCGCCGTATATTAACTTGATAGTAGCAATAAACTTAAGATGAAAACGATTGAGACTGATAACCTCAACACAAGCGGTTTATTGGTTTAATCAATATAATTAATTCCCCTTAGATTATTAACCATGAGATGCATGCATTAATAATCCAAGTTTACTACCATGAAAGGACCGAATTAATAACAAGCGTATTAATCGACCGATTCTAGTATTAATTAATATATGAAACAAAACTAGTTGATCCTTTAAGTAATGTTCAAAATATTAATATGAAATATGAATAGGGATTAATTAATACTCAAGAAAGAATATTAAAGAAGATGAATCCTACTATAGTTAATATCAAGATGTTAACTAATTGTCATCTTAGTAACATTCCCCAATATTAACGTAGAGGAAGAAATAATTATTACTATAACTAATGTCAAGATGTTAACTATTTGTCATCTTAGTAACACTTCCCAACATTGATATAGAAATAGTATTTAAAGGGAGAATTAATATTCAAGGAAGAAGATTAAAGATAATAACTCACAACTTACAAATTCATTAAGCTTCAAAAGAGCAAAACCAAGATGGAAGAGTTTAGCTCCTCATTTGGAGACTAAACATGATGAAAAATATAAAGAAAGAACTTGTCTAAACTGAGCTAAGAAGTATATGTGAATTGGTGACCCTATTGTGAAGGAAAGGAGGTGTATTTATAGGCTTTTTGAGGTGTAGGTCGGGTACTCGATCGAGTATATACATATACTCGATCGAGTATGTGTAGAAATCAGAATTCGACCCATACTCGATCGGTTTTAGAGTAAATTTTATAACTATACCCGATCGAGTATGTCGGTGTACTCGATCGGGTATAGACACTCGATCGTGGGTAAATCTTCCTCTGCATGTTCCTTTGTTTTCGGATCCGATCCGATTTGAAATGTCAACCAGATACCCGATCGAGTATATATATATACTCGACCGAGTATAGACCAAAATCAGGATTTTTCCTTCTTTTTGTCTTGTACTCTTGCACCTTCCTTCACCATTGATCATTTGATTGATCTTGGACCTGTTTAAGCTCAGAATAAACCTAATCTAAACAAATTACAAAAATTTAACAAACTAAACTATTACACCGAAAGTGTGTAATTTCCGAAATATTAAACAATCAAAACTAACTAAAAACGTAAATAAACATACGGAAATTACAAACGTATCATCCATACCATACTCAGTAAGTAAACATACATAACAACATCACGCAATAGGATTGAACGAATAGCGGAAATATTCAATATTCAATCGTGGGCCACACATGGCCAAAACGTAGGCACGCAGGCCCAAAACAAATGTATTTATTACAAAAATATCCATGAGCAAGTTTGTAGTTTAAAACATTAAAGGAAGCACGAACCACGTCTCCCTTTGGATCACTTCACCGAGCAAGGTGAGAATAGCAACTTGAGCTTCAACCTGAAAAGGTGGGGCCCCCCCGAAGGGGTCAGTACAAGTACCGAGCGAGTAGCAGGCTAAATGTAGAATAACTAACGTTTCAAGTATAAGACCCAAACATAGGGTGATACATATACGTATAGTCCTTTCCCCAAGATTTGAAATACATATTGGTATATATACACTTGGAAATACCCGACCCGTAGGTCATTGTTTATTTGGGAAAAATAATAGAAGCCAATGTCCTTGACTTAAATCCCAACCCACCCATATACCTATGAGTGTATAGAACTCCTCCTTGTTCAAGTAAATTATCATAAGGACACCGCCCGGTCCTAGATCATTAAATGTAATCTATGAGTTTTGAGGATACACGCCCGATCCTTGGGTACTCCACCCTATAACCGAGTTTTGAGGATAACCGCCCGATCCTTGGGTACTCCACCCTATATATATACATATATACCGAGTTTTGAGGATAACCGCCCGATCCTTGGGTACTCCACCCTATATATATACATATATACCGAGTTTTGAGGATAACCGCCCGATCCTTGGGTACTCCACCCTATATAACCGAGTTTTGAGGATAACCGCCCGATCCTTGGGTACTCCACCCTATATATATACATATATACCGAGTTTTGAGGATAACCGCCCGATCCTTGGGTACTCCACCCTATATAACCGAGTTTTGAGGATACACGCCCGATCCCTGGGTACTCCACCCGACCTATGACTTACCACATATCACACTAGATAGGGTCTATATCATATTATTACTAAAGACTAACCAAGTCTTAGAATTAAATCAATGAATGTCAATCTTGACATTAAATCATCATATTCCATGCAATTCCATGCACAATATACACACATAGGTTGTACGGGGTCAGCCCCTCCTTCGAACCGGACTTCGGTTCGCGTTTTTAGTGAAATTTAAGTGTGGAGGCAGTAGCTTACCCGGCCCCGGGTATGCCCTATACCCTGCGCCGGGTATGTTCGGAGTTTTGGGTCAACGGCCCGTTGACCCCCGAGTTGACCCCCGAACCGTGATCCGTTTGATCCGAAATTTTTATACAACCTATATCATGTCTAAAACAATCAATAAATGTTATTTTGGCCTTCCAAAACATCACATATGTTTTATATATATTTTCTACTTCCCACATGCATAATCATGTAGTTTCATTCACATAAGCCTAATCACCTTGGCTAATCACATGCTTAAACTCTTTTAAACATCATTATGAATACTTATAACATTTATTTAGGTAATCTCATACTTAACCCAAGAGTTATAAGACATTAAGCCGTCCACTCACCTTGAATTAGCGTTATGAAGTTCTACCCTTCTTGGTTGAACTCCGGTGAAACTCCGGCGACTTTTGGTCAACTCCGGCGACAATTCCGGCGACTTTCCCAACCTTGTGAAATCACTTGAAATACCTTTCACAAGTTCCTAACAAGGTTTTATAATCATAAAACCCATATTAATACAAATAACCTCAAAAAGGTTATTTTCCGGTGAACCGGTCGTTTTGGCTTCTAAGACCGTTCTTGGACATAGAATCACTTCATAACCCATAAATCCATACTTATAACATGTAGAACCCTCTTAAGGGTTCTTCACATGATACATATCTCATATGGTAGGATAAAAATAAAGGAAAAGTTATAATGAGGTCATTACCTTAATTTACACACTTTTCCTAGCCTTTTTCCTTCTTTAATCTTTCTTCTTTGAGCACTTATGCTTGAGCTCGAATTTGGTGGCTATGGAGGATGGTTTGAGAGCTTCCTTCTCCTTTCTTGATGGGGTTGGACGAGCTGAAAGATAGGGGTGAGAGAGAGGGCACTCACCTTTGTCTCAAAGACAATTAAGAGAGGTGGGGGGTCCTCTTTGGTACTATAGATGCCAAATAATCCTCCTCCACATACTCATTTGTCCTTCCAGCCCCCCCATGGGTCTTGTTGAGCACACAAAAACGTGGGGTGGCCCCCACTCATGTGGGAGGTCATCCCAACTTGTCCCGAAATGTACATTCGGTCCCGAAAGTTGTATTTTTCGGACTGTTTTAAATATATTTTATTTTATCGGGTCAAATAAAATATATTATGTGCTCTTACTCATTATGACATTTATAATGAATATACATTCCCCAACTTTAATTTATAAGCCTCCGAAATTCATTTCCGGGCTGCTATCTGTTAAATTGTCAGTACCGGTAATTGAGCCTCTTTTTCCCAATCGGTCAACTCTGTGCCTTTCCATGACCCAAATAAAATATCCACCACTATATAAATATTATCTTGACCAAGATGAATAAAACATGTGGTCTCGGGAGTGTCGGGCGGCCCCCGCTCCCGGTGTGGGTCCCACGTGCAATTTACTATTCGCGCGAAAGAAATAATAAAAATTTACAACTTCGTAAATTCATTAATCCTTTGATAAGGTTCAATACATTATTTACATAAAAGTAAATATACTTGGGGACGGTGTTACAGGGAACATTCATTTATTTTTACCTTGAACATGTTCCACCAAAGTTCACGGACTTTGGGATCAACATCCGTGTAGCTTGCCCAGTTCCCAAGAAAGTGTCCACCATTTATGATTTTGATTTGGGTCAACACTTGTTGATCGCTTAAAAAAATTAATGATATTTTTTTATATGCGTTTTGGTTACATTATTTGACATTAGATAAAATTATTTGACATTAGGTAAAGTTCATAGTTACTTACTTAACAACCATGTGAGGTGTCACCCAAGCCGCATTTTCATTGTTGCGCTCTGCTTCGGTTAAGGGCGCATAGGCATAGTTCGGGCGGGCACGTGAGGTTGATTGTTCATTTCTCATCTAAAAATATATTAATTTATATTTTTAAAATGTTAGTGGGAATATAATAGAAGATCAAAATTTTATTGAAAATGTGTATAACATATTAAACTGTGTTTAATTTTAATATGAGGTGATGATATTTTTTTCAATTATTTTTTTTTTAACTTTGAAACAATACATTTTTGTATTGATTGCTCTTAAAGGTAACATGTTAAACTTTTTGGCAAGTTTACATGAGGGGACATAATTTTTTTGATGTTTTATAAAAATAAATTTTTATAAGGAAATACGGAGTAATAAATAACTAGATTTAGAAAAACAGTTTTTACAACTAATAAAAAAACTGTTTTGAAACAGTTTGTGATTAATAGTTATTAAATAGTTTATTTTTACAACTAATAAAAAACAGTTTATTAGTCAAACTGTTTTTTAATATTTCCTTATAAAACTAATAAGGAAACTGTTTTTTATTAGTTTTTGAATTAATATTTTTATAAAAACTGTTTTTTTTTAGTTTTGAATTAAGATTTTTACAAACTGTTTAGAAAAACAGCTATTACAACTAATCAACTGTTTTGAATTAAGATTTTTGTAAAAACTGTTTTTTTTTAATCTGTTTTTACCTAATAAAAAAAAGTCCTTAAAAAAATAAAATAAACAGTTTTTACAAAAATCTTTTTTTTTAACAAAAAAAAATATATTTTATAAAAAACCAGTTTAACAATAAAATCAGTTTTTACAAAAAAAACTAATAAAAATCAGTTTTCACAAAAAAACTGTTTTTACAAAAAACTGTTTTTAACATTTCAAACTCTATTTTTAGAAAAACAGTTTCAGAAATATATAGTTTACATAATTTCGTATATATAGTTTAAAACAGTTTTTTATTTACCTATTTAACCCAATTTAATTTTGAAAACAGTTTATTAAACATTTCATTATTTTATTTCGGCAAACAGTTTTTATATTTAATTCTAAATTAATTTCGGAAAACAGTTTTATTTTTTATACTATAATTTTGAAACAGATAATTTCTAATCAGTTTATAAATTAATGTCGAAATAACATTTTATTTTATGTTTATTATATATTTTGTAAAATTATAATTAACATGTTAATCTTTTTTGGAAGTTTAACATGAGGGGCTATTTTGTTAAATAATTCGGGAATAATAAAAATGATAGATAAAAAAAAATCCTAATAATGTCCAAAGAATTCTATTGAGTATCATTTTCAAAAATAATGTCAAAAAAATCATGCATATTGAACATACGTATGATTTAAGCATGCATATTAGACATGAATATTGAACATATAAACGAAAATAAATCAAATTGTATCAAACTATATTTTAAGCATGCGTATTAGACATCAAACAAAAAAACAAAAAATAAATTTTATCAACTTTGAGCATGCAAATTAATATTGTAATGCGAAATTAAAACAAAACTAATAATCGTGGAGAGATTAATATTGAGCATGCAAATTAATATTGTAATGTGAAATTAATATTACAATATTACAAAATTAATATTGTAATGCGAACATAATAATAATAACATGCATTTGTGTGTATAAACGTAGAAACATATACACATATAATCATATTAAATGTATATACACATAAATATATAATTGAAGAATAAATTATTAGGGCATGCAATTTTCAATAAATAGAACATGCATTGGAGCATATAAACATGCATTTGAGTACATAAACATGCATTTGTGAGTAAAAAATTATTCGAGAAAACATAACCTTGATGTGGAGAGAGAGGCGCGAAAAAATAGGAGTGGTGAACGACGGCAGTGGACGGCGGACGGCAGCGGCGCTGCACTCAGTAGGGCGTTGGCCGGAAGGGGAAGATAGAAGGTAGAAAGAGTTTGAGAGGAAATTAGGGTTTGGAAGCGTAGGTTGGAAAAAAACACTAAGTGTTGTTTTTATATAAGGGAGTAGTCACGGACGTAGTCACGGACGTAGTCACGGACCGGTCCATGACCAAACCCTTCGTAATCAACGAATCCAGGCACGCGGCATCAGCCGCCATTGACCGGGTTAGTCATGGATAGTGCCGTGACTAATACCGTGACCCGGTCAATGGCGGCCCTGACACCTCGCCTTCTGCGAGTCTGAATTCGGCATTAACGAAGGGTATAAATAAGACCGTGACTGCTTCAAATTTTTAGTATAAATAAGTGTTCTCCGGCCCAAGAATTGTGTGGAAACAATGACTAATAGAGAACCAATTGACTGGGATATGATGTGTAGAGGTATGCAGCGCATTAAGCAAGTTACATAGCTCATGGAGCCGAAAAGTTTTGAGGCAGTGCAGAAAATCAGGGAGTTGATGGCTAGACCCCTTGAAAGTTTTGGAGACATTAGAGATGACGAATCAGACTCACTCGGCAAGTCAAAAACAAAAAACTTGTGTCGGATGCTTTATCGTGCAAAAGAATGTACAGAGTATATGGAACCGATAAACGCAGAAGCTCAAAGATAAATACGCGAGTTGTGGGCTAGGCCTGTTGAAAGTTTTGACATTGATGAATAAATCTGTGTTTGTTTGTTTCCTTATGATAAATCAATAAGTTACGTAGTGTATTATGATAAATAAAAAATGTGTGTTCGTTGTTAGTTATTTCCTTATGAAAATGTTTTTTTCCTTACGAATTTAAATTTAATAACTAAATATTCAGATTATTAAAAGTAAATCAATTTTATTTTTGAATTTTCGAAATTTTAGTATTCGGATTATTATTCAAAATATTACAATGAAGAATAGAGCACAAATATTCAAAATGTGAATTTTCAAATTTTTGAAAATTTTGTAATTTATAATTAACTAACTTGTTTTTTAAAAGTAATATGGAGTAATTATGATTTCACAAATAATAATGATGAAGAAAAAATGCAAATATTCTTGGAGTAATATAATGATGAAGAAAGGGCACAAATATTCAAAGTCAAAAAAATTAAAATTACAACAATACAATTTCTCGCTATCGGAATCGTTATTTTCTACATATACAACATCATCTTCTTCTGTATCAGAACCGTCTATCTATTCCCCTTCTGCCTAATATTGAGCGTTTTGTTGTGCTTCATACATTTCAACAATTTCAGGCTCAGATGGAGGTGTTCGGTCCGGAAGGTGTGTTTCTGGCATGACTTCAACACGTCCGCCATTTAGATCACTTAATTGAATGTTATAGTTGACCGTCTCAACAATAGGTTGGAAAAATTGTTGCTGAAAAGCATCTAAATCAACGTCCTTGTGTTGAGTTTGTGATACAATTTTGCTCGGACGGACAGTACATGCACACACCCAAGGATTCTGTGTCCGCCTGGTTGAAGGGTATTCTGCATAATAAATCTGGGATGCTTGTTGAGCGAGTATAAAAGGCTCATTTTTCCTAAGCTATACACGCGAGAGTGGTTGACGTCAATCATATTATACTTTAAATTTTTTCTCACACCACGTGTTGGATCGACCCATTTGCAGCGGAACAAAACGCATGTCAAAATTTTCCCAGCAGAAGACATTTCAAATTCGAGAATCTCATGCAAGACACCAAAAAATTGGTTTCCGAGTTATCATAACCGATGGTTGGGACACATAACCCGCTGTTCACTGTTGGTCGGCCCTGTCCATAATCGACTGTGTGATAGGTGTAACTGTTTATCACATATGACCGCCAAACTTTGGCGTAGGCACCAGGGCCCCACGATAATGATACTAACAGAGGGTCCACAATCCCACGACTATTGATCTGTAAATTAAAACATGATAACATTGAGTAATTATTAAAAATTATTACTTAATAATATATATAATTAATGTGTGTATATATACCTTATACTTGTACCACGGTACAAAATCAGAGTCCACCATTGCATCAATTTCATTATCAGGGAATGCTGAGAACTCCGCTCTAAATTCACTCTGAAGTCAAACATGAAAATATTATAAATCAACTACCTTAATTGTATATATATTACAAATATAACTA